ACGTACACACTCACATGGAGCCACACAGACACATCGACTCACACACACAGACACATCGACTCACACGCACACATGGACTTAGACACACGTAAATATTAGGAAATGTCAATTTTTTTTAAAAATAATTATTTGTCTACAGACACAGACCATGCACACACATTGACGAACACATACACACATCGACGGACACACAGATATATCAACTCATGCACACACACACATCGACTCGCACACACATGGACTTGATACATATGTAACGGTGTTATTGGGCGAACGTACACAGTCTCCGGGTGATAGCTACTACTTGCCAATAGGGGGCAGTCAACAGGCTGAGCCAGTGCCAGTGGAGTATGACCCAAGGGGCCAACAGTCAGCCGGGAAAACGGATCTTGGAACGAATGGGCACAGCCCCCAAAGTAGGGGGCTGTAGGGGAATGATGTCACCCTTCCAGAACCTGTTGGAAGGTTCGGGAAGGGAGGTGTGGCGCAAGCCACAGAGCAGGATAAAAGGTCGGACCCCGGGAGGGTTCGGGCAGTATGTGCCAGCTGAAGACAGAAGAGCCAGTGAAGACTGAAGACCGGCTAGCTAGGACCCTGGGACTCATCTGACCCACCATCCTTATCAGCGCCGGGCAGAGTGAGCCAGTGGTGCGACCCTGGAAGCCCCGGAGCCCGACATCCTTATCCGGGCTGGGTCCGTGTGGCTGGTGGTCGAGACCTGTACCTTGCCTGGGTCAGGTCAGCTAGCCTCCCCTAGGACCCTCTTAGTCGGAGGACCCGAGACCATAGCCCAGGAGTAGGGCGAGTTAGCCGTAGGCATACCTCCCCAGCTAGCAGCGGGTGAAGGGGCCGTTACCCCTTCAAGTGGAAGGCTGTATCGTGTTGTGTTACGCCCTTGTAATAAATAAACGTTGCCTCTACCGAGTCGTCTACGCCGTCATAAAGAACCCACTACACACACAAACGTAGACACACACATGGTGGCAGACACCCACATAGACTCGCACGCTCGCACGCACACAAGGCCGTAGACACATTAAGAAAGATAATAACATTCTCTAAGTAAATTTAGAAATCTTTGTTGTGAGAACACAAACATTATGAATGTAATATTTGCAAGGTGATTATTTAAAAATCAGGTTTCTGTCAACGTGAGTTGACACGATAATAAGAATATTAGAAATGACCAAGGTAATAAAAAAATATTTTTTGTGAGCAGACAAACAAAAATAGTTGTCTGCACAGAGTTAATGTAATATTAACAAGGTGAATATAAAAAAATGGGTTTCTGTAAACGTGAGTTTAGGGAAAGAAGCAAGGAAATAATACTTAACATTGCCGTAGTGAGGCCTAGTCCCGTGCAGAGCCTACGGCCTCGCCTAGATTGCCCAGCCGGCCGAGGTGTCACCTTGGCAGGGTGTGGGCTGGGCCGCTCCCCCCGGCTGTGCTACAATAATACTATCTAAGCGGTAATATTAATATCTAGGGACTCTATAGTAGTAACAGGACGCATTTGGGTGGAGTGGAGAGAAGAGAACATCACACTTTGAAGAATTAAGCTCAGCGTTGTGTGTGTTTTTGTTGCATTTTTAACACGAATAAAAATGTGTGCTGATCGTGTGTGCATTGCTAGGGGCAACCACTGTCAGCAGTGCAAAGTGTAATTTAATAAATGCGTATAATACTAATGTGTGCGACGTACCTTATAGAGTATGCAGGCGACTAAAAAAGCCCGCACACCTCCGGCAATGGCGCGTGAGAGTTTGTAGGGACTAACCGTGATGAGTATTGTGCACATGCGCAGCTGTGGACGTTGTCCCGCCCCGACCGGCGAAGGGAAATAAAAAAAATATTGGAACTCAATATTTTAATAAAGATATCGCAAAAAACGCTATTTTAAAGGTGAGTGATGGGAAAACTGAATAGCGCTTGCCCACCGTGATGCTTACGGCATGGTACCAGGCAGATTTTATTTCACATAAACACCACCGTTTGAGAGCCAAATCCCTTGCAAGCGCGCGTGCACGGACAGACAGATGGTCAGACGGATAAAGAATGCCTTTTATAGGTAAGAAGACTAGCGGGAAGAACCTGGCATTGCCCGGGCAAAAAATATATCAAAACTTCTCTTAAAAACCTTACATATACATACACAGATACTAAGCAATTGTGAAAGCCTGATGGGCCGTTTGTCCATTTCTCCACCAACAAAATAATAAGAGGCTTGCAGAGGTCCAAAAAGTTAGAGAAAGTGGGGGGTAAATGGTTGATCTAAAAGGTTTGTGAAAATTGACGACCCCCCCATCCCTCATAAAATATATTTACCCCCGCGTAGGTATATATACCTACACACCCTACATACAACAAAGTAGTATCTGTTGACTCAGTAGTTGTATCTACTGACTGTACAGTAGTATCTACTGAGCCAGTAGTATCTACTGACTGTTTAGTAGTATTTACTGACTGTAGTAACTACTGACCGTAGTAGTATCTACTGACTGTCGCAGTATTTACTGGCCGTAGTGGTATATACTGACTGTTTTAGTATCTACTAACTCTACAAACAGTATCTACCAACTCGATAGCAGAATCTACTATCACCACAGCAGTGCATACCGACTGTTGTGGTACCTGCTATCACTACAGCAGTGGATACCGACTGTTGTGGTACCTGCTATCACTACAGCAGTGCATACCGACTGTGGTGGTACCAGCTATGACTACAGCAGTGCATACTGACTTTGGTGGCACCTGCTTTCACTACAGCAGTGCATACTGACTTTGGTGGTTCCTGCTTTCACTACAGCAGTGCATACTGACTGTGGTGGTACCTGCTATCACTACAGTAGTACATGCTGACTGTATAGCAGTATATATCGCATCTATAGCACAAAGTAGTAAGCAGACAGAGTGCCGTGGTGAGGCCTAGTCCCGCGCAGAGCCCCCAGCCTCGCCTAGATTTACCAGCCCGCCGAGGTGTCACCTTGGCAGGCTGGCGGCTGGGCCGCTTTCCCCCCGGCCACGCGACAATAATGGCATGTAAGCGCTATAAGAATGATATGTAGGGGCTCTATAGTAGTTTCAGGAAACATTGGGGTATCATTGGGGTGGGGAGAAGAGGACATCGCACTGTGAAGAATTTACACGGTGTGTGTTTTTGCTGCATGTATAAGGCGAATGAAAATGTGTGGCGATCGTGTGTGCGTTGCTAGGGGCAACCCATGTGAGCAGTGCAAAGTGTAATTAGATAAATGCTTATAAGACTAATTAATGGGACTGACGTCTTATATAAATGCATATAATACAAAAGTGTGCGACTTACCTTGGGCAATGGCGCGTGTGGATTGCTGGGGGTAACCTCGTGGGTGCTGTGCGCAAGTGCAGCAGGCTGCGGTGTCACCCAGCGCACGGCGAAGGGAAATAAATAATTAATCTATAAAACTAACTCAATTAATTAATCAAAATCTCAAAGAAACGCTAACTTAACTCATTTAAAGGTGACGGACATGAAAAAGAAATTGCCTATTCCCACAGCGGGGCTCAGGGCGTGCTGGCTAGCAAATATTTTTTGGGCATAAAACCCACCGTTCGAGAGCCAAATCCCTCGCAAGCGCGCGCGGAGACTTTTATGTATTAAAAAAAGAGAAAAAGAAGAGAGAAGAAAGAAAGAAGAGAGAAGAATAAAGAAGAGGATGAAGGGCCATTGCTCAAAGCGTTACCTATTATATATTTATCCTTTTTAAAATGCAGTGTTCTTGACGTGTGCATTAAGTTTTTAGTTGCTTTATTTACGGTTTGATTAATCCGCGCGTTCTCTTATCGAGCACGTGTTTTGATGCACTTTTGAATTTTTGTTCGGTATTTTTCGTCATTGTTCCTGAAGCACACGTCCTTCCAGGAACAGTTATCGACACGATCGGTTTACGACATTTCGCGTTAATGCAATTTACAAATTAGACACTTTTTGATTCACAAAATCGAATTTCCGCGTTAACGGAATGTCATTACGGCACACGCGTCATGTGATCATTATATCTAGATTGAAAACTCATCTCTTTTGAACTGCTTTTTGCGTTTAGTTTGCTGTGCTTCCCCGGCACCTCCAATTAGCACGGTTGGCTATGTACGGTGCGAAAAAAGTGCAATACACATACATACTGCCCAAAGACGAACAACTACCAGACTCAACACTGCACCTACGATTAGCACGGTCGGCTAGGTAGGGTGCGAAAAAAGTTCACCACACAGTACAAAGTGGGAGCACCCGGGAGGTTGCGTCATCCATCAACGTCAGCGTCGCGGTGTCACGAGAGCTCCACACGACACTGGCAGTCATTACAACATGTAGCGGATCTTTGGGGGAGTTCCCTCAAAATATTTTAAAAAATTGTTTAAAATGCATTCATGATTCAATAGTTGTAATGTTTATTTTTGCTTTAATATTTGTATTGTAAAAAGTGATATAGGTGTGTATATTGTTATTAGTAAGAGTTGGAAGGAGGATCCGAACACACATGCCTACATTGTGAGTATAAATGAATAGGAAATGAATAAGATTAACGCTATTTGCGTGACTAGCGCGGTGTGTGTTTTGTTGCGTGACCAACACATCCCCTTCGTGAAGCCCACCGAGATCGGGGCGTTAACGAGTCGACCGCCGATCTGTCTGCGTGGTGCCCGTAGGCGGCCCAGATTGCGTGTTGACTACCAGTCTGCATGGGCTTGGTGTTTGTTATCCACTCATCAGCAGCCGAGGATCTTGTCCGATCCCCACTTACATCGCAAACAGCGTTGGCGCACTTCTACTGTGCTGTGTGTGTCGCCACGGCTGTCTCCCTGCACTGGCCAGCGTGCAGTGTGGCCATGCGACTCCCTACGAACTCGCACGAGTCGGCGCAGACCCCGCTTCATCCAGCAGTGCGTCGACAAGAAGGTTTGCTCTTACACGGTAACGCGGATAACGACGAACGCGACAAACATTACAAGTACAAGCCACTCACCACCTCCCAGGCCGCGCACGCTTCTTCGGGCGTATTCCCCCGATCCGCACGGAACCGATCGCCGTCGTTTTCGAGCGACCACGGGCCGACCCGCGAGTAGCCCCGGGCGGGGCACGGCGGCGTTTAAACGCCGAGGTTCGGTGCCAGGCTTCGAACGCGAATCCACCCCACAGCGAACCCGCGGCAGCGGCAGCAGCAGCGGCGGCGTCCGCGCGGTGCGGAGGCAACAGAGCGGCCCGTACCCCGCCGCCGCGGCATAGCCGGCGAGGCCACGACACCCACCCCACCACCACTGCACCCGCAGCACGCGCTAGGATGGGTTGTTTCGGCTGCAGAGGGAGGGAAGGAGAGAGAGGAGAGGCGTTGAGACGCTACGACGAGACTTGGAACATCGCGGCAGCGAAGCGGCGTTGGGCGGCGAGACGGGGGCGAGGTGGTGACACTTGCCCAGAGGAACCGGATCCGGGAACCGGCGGAACAGCTGTTGAGCAGGGAACCGGATCCCCTCAAAAAAACTTCGAGTGGGGGGACACCGCGATGACGTCATTGGCTCAATAACGTCGCGATTACGTCATCATATCAAGATCGTGTAGATGGCGTCACCGTCTCGACATCGACGCGCTGACGTCATCGAGAAATGACGTCACAAACAATGACGAGCGTTTGATTTCATCGCCGCGTGGAGACGTCACGGGTACATCCCAACCCCAGAATCGGTGACTTAATACTACAGGAGGAATCCGATGAGCTAAAAGCTCTTTTTACACAGATGTCGAGTAGTGGGCACGGGGTCAGAAGGTTACAACAAGAACAAACAATACAAAACACGTTTGGAGTGCAATGAATTGGAAAGGTGAGCAAATCAATAAAACGAAAACTAAACTATATTTATCATAACCAGATTTAAAGTGTCCATGACTGCAAGGATTCACTCTTTGGTTATTTCGGTAAAGTCACGTAAGTAAAAAAATTATAAATGAAAAAACAACTAAATTAAATCACGACGTTTCGATAGCCTCCGTCTTCAGGTGGAACCGTTACAGCCAAATTCACTGTGATAAGTGAAGAGAGCTAATAGAGAGACTATATAGGGTAAGAGGGGGGGCAAGGTCGGGGGATGCTGTTGAGGGGTCGGGAGGGGGCAAGTGCTACGCTGAGTTAAGCCAATTGATAACACATTGTCCTGCGGAGGGAGCTGGCAGGAACGTTGGGTTGCTCGGTCAATGGCCAGGGTCAACGGCGGCGTGGTGTATTCCGCAAATATGCCCGACTGTGAGGGCGGGCACAAGCCGGCGTGAGTAGGTGAAACGTTGAGTTTTTTAGGGGCACCACGGGGTGACCAGCCCCTCCCGACCCAGCCAAACCCCCCCACCCAGCCCCTCCCCACCCTCCCTACCCAGCTCCTCCCCACCCTCCCCACCCAGCCCCTCCCCCACCCAGCCCCTCCCTCCCCACCCAGCCCCTCCCCGCACGACAGACAGACGGACACAATAATCCCCTGTGGGCTGGTGTAACCAGGAGGTTCCTACCAGTAACATCTATTCATTATGCGGGAGAGAGGGGGTATTGGAGAACAAAGGGGGGGGGGTGGAAGTTGAGCTGATTAATAGGTACGCTAAGTTAAGCTGATAGATAACATCTATTCATTATGCATGGCGGGGGGGGTAATACGGAAGCTATTAGAAAATAAAAACGCCACTATGCAATACACTGCACTACTATAAACTGCTATACATTACACTATTATCCACACTATACTATAATACTATACTCTGCACTACACTATATACTATGATACTATAGACTACTATACACTACACTAGTAAACAGTACACCATACACTGCTCTATGTGGCACATTAGGAATGGATCACTTTTAATTATATCCTTGTGGAGCAAGGGAGTAAAGAGTGTGGTTTTGTGAAAGTCCTGATGTGCTGTGCAGTGCATCAATGCACGTGTGTACAGCAGCGCGTGCGTACAGCAGCGCGTGCGTACAGCAGCGCGTGCGTACAGCAGCGCGTGCGTACAGCAGCGCGTGCGTACAGCAGCGCGTGCGTACAGCAGCGCGTGCGTACAGCAGCGCGTGCGTACAGCAGCGCGTGCGTACAGCAGCGCGTGCGTACAGCAGCATGTGATGACTGAGTCGGGCCTGTAGGTGGCTGGCAGGGTTATTGAATAACCGCGCGGATATACCAGTCACATGGTTAATGGCGACTCGGGAGCAATGCTGGTTGTAAAACACGTGCTGTTGCATTTTACAGGTAAAGGACCCAAAGGTTCATCTTCTTGGTTATTTCAGTAAAGTCACGTAGAATGGAAAAAATAAAATAATAAAAATAAAACATCGTGAGAATTATTTTATTATGTTTTATTTTTATTATTTCCATTCTACGTGACTTTACCGAAAGAACAAAGAAGATGAATCCCTGCAGTCACGAAAGCTTTAAATCGAAATTTGACCCAAAGGTTGTTTTTGATCGTTATATAAATGTTCTAGACTTGTTCTAGACTTTAAGCTTGGCTTTAAATTGTTCGTTTGTGATATATGCAATTAGAGGCGTTTTAGCACTGTGCATTGTAAAGGGATTATGCACTGTGATTACTTACTTTCATTGTAATTCTCTAACTCTAATACTGTTTAGTCTATAACCATGCCCATGTACCCAGAGTATGACTACTTGCAATGCTATTGAGAATAGAACACATTTAAAGTATTAAGCTGTACAATTGTGATATACAGTACGTATACTGTACACATGCAGTACATATAATGGGTGTAAGATACCGATATAGGTGGATGGTATAGATAGACATACAGCTTAGGATTAAAGGAATATTCGAATAGTGATGTGCAAATGTGATTGTCAAAGACAAAGATGGTTTATCAGTAGTAGAATTGGGTTTAAGAGAAAACTGTTAATGAATAACCGCACGTGTAAACCAGCAACATGGTTAATGGCGACTCAGGAGCAATGCTGGTTGTAACACACGTGCTTTTGCAATTTACAGAGTGACGGTGTTGTTCTTCACAAGATTGCTATTAACCACAATAAATGTGCTTGCCCTCGATTTGGAGCACCTGCCCATGTCCTTCATTTCGAGTGTGCAACATATTTTGGCGAGCCTGGCAGGAGAGTTTCTCAGAATTCACTGACGGGGATTAACTCTTCCAATGAGACGGACCAAGCAATTGTAAAGGCAGAATATATAAATATATTTATACAAGGTTCTACATAAACCTCGCGCAACTAACCAGCGGGGTGGTGGCTTAGCGGTCGTTTACAATGCTCACTTGAAAATTAAAGAGCTCCATCTACCAATGGCTCAGGCCACATTCGAGGTCCAGTCCGTATCCCTTACTACTAACAACGAGTGCTTTTACATTATTTCCATCTATCGCCCTCCAGATGGCAGCATCAACACCTTCGTAAATGAGCTTTCGGAATTCCTATATCTGATTCCTAACCCATCTCACAGGCTCGTGCTTACAGGCGACTTCAATTGCCCCGGCAATACCCCAGCCTCCATCGATAGTCACCTTGAGTCAACTTTGGCCTGCCATAACCTGGTCATCACAAACTCAGGCCCCACCAGAGCTTCGTCAACAAACGTTGAGAGCATGCTCGACCTGGTTCTGGAACCTAACCAGCACCGACGCATCACTGCACTGGGAGTTTTCCAAACTGGTTACTCCGACCACCGCCTTATACTTTCTTCCCTCCAATTTCCGAAGCCAATCACCATCAAATTCACCCGCAACTTGCGTAATTTTAAGGGTATCGAATTTTCTGCTTTTCGTCACCTCCTTGCAAACTCGCTTTCAATGTTATCCCCATCATCGGATCCAACCGTCTGCGCTCTCCAACTAGAAGCTGACATGAGGGCGGCGCTGGACAAACTAGCTCCATTAAAATCACGAACCGCTAGGCAGTCTTCTCACGACACTCACTGGCTCTCAAGAGATGCCATCATTGCTAAGCGAACCAGGAGGCGTCTTGAACGTATCGCATCCCGCAGTGGTCTACCTGCTGATCGACTTGCTTACAGAGTCGCCTGCAGGAAAACTAACAAACTGATCCTTGTCTCACGTTCCTCCCACATTGAGGAACGCATCAAAAAAGCAACCGGAAACCCGCGCATTCTATGGAAAACTCTCAAAGATCTTCTCCATCCTGGTAGCACCATGGTCCCTCACCTTAGCGATCCCCTTGCCTCACTGAAACTTGCCACCTCTTTTAATACTTACTTCAACAACAAGCTAATCGCCGTCGCAAACTCGTGCACGTCTACTGACACATTGCACCATTGTACCCCGCTCATGGTACCTAAAATTGTAAGCACTAACCCAGACACTCTTCTAACTATGCTAAAGCCTGTGTCTACAAAAGACGTTTTCGCTTTAATTGAATCACTTCCTTTGAAGTCATCTCCACTCGACGTGCTCCCAGGTTCCTTGTTCAAGCAATGTGCTCCGGAACTCGCCATCATGATCAGGAACATCGCAAATGCCTCCTTCTCTTCGGGGTGTTTTCCGTCCAACCTCAAATCTGGCCTGGTTTCTCCCTTGTTAAAGAAACCAAATCTAGATCCGGATGACCCATCTAGTTATCGTCCCATCACTAACCTCTCTAACCTCTCTAAACTCCTTGAACGACTAGCCCTCGCCCAGCTACAACCACACGTCACCTCCTCCGCAAACTACTGCAACTTCCAGTCAGCTTACCGTCAAAACTATTCCACAGAAACAGCACTCACTAGGGTGCTCGATGACATTTTAACGATCGTTGATTCCGGCTCAACTGTTGCACTTGTAAGTCTGGACATTTCGTCAGCCTTCGACACCATCAACCATTCGCTCCTTACTTCCCTCCTGAAATCCGACTTCGGTATATGCGGCTCAGCACTCAAGTGGATAGCTTCGTACCTTTCTGACCGGCAATCTTCAGTCAGGGTGGGCATGTCCACATCGCCTGAAACAAGAGCATTATGCGGGGTTCCCCAGGGCTCTGTTCTAGGTCCCCTGCTCTTCACAGCCTACACTTCCCCGATCGGCCGACTCATTGCAAGCTTCGGTATTAAGCATCACTCATACGCGGATGACACGATTCTATTCACCGCCATCGATTCTAGCAATGCATCTGGATTCGAGAGGCTCTCGGAATGTACCACCGCCGTGCAACAATGGTTCACTGCACACAACCTAGCCCTTAATCCGAAAAAGTCAGTGGCCATCATGTTAGGTACCAAGCAACGTCTCAATTCAGCAGCACTCCCCACACACATACACATCTTCGGTCATAGCATCAAGTTCACCAACCACTTCAGCTACCTCGGTGTCATCCTAGATTCAACTTTATCCTTCGACCGTCAAACCAACCATATCATCAGCTCATGTAACTTTCACCTGAAGGCTCTTAGACACATACGTCCTCTCATCTCTACTGAAATTGCCAACACTTTGGCATGTTGCATAGTTGGGTCTCGCCTTGACTATTGTAACTCCGTCCTTGTCCGGACCTCCGCTGGCAACCTAAGGAAGCTTCAAAGACTACAAAATAACCTAGCACGCGTCGTCATTGCCCACACTCATCCCCGCCTCGACTCACTAGCTCGTCTCCGCGCTCTCAACTGGCTCCCCATTGCCAGTAGGGTCACATACAAGACCGCCTGCCTCTGCCACAATGCCTTCATATCCGCCTGCCCGCCGTATCTTTCTTCATTACTGACAACTTGCAGCTCAGCACACGGCAGATGCCTGCGCAGCGCGACTCACGACCTCCTCTCAATACCAAGATCCAGGATGGTCATGTCTACGCGCCGCTTCTCGGTGGCAGCCCCAACAGTCTGGAACGATATCCCTCTGCACATTCGCAGCATCACCTCAATCGCCTCCTTCAAGAGACACTTAAAAACTCACCTCTACAATCATGCTTTTGAGCGACTCTGAGCTTGGCTCCGCGCCTCTGAGTTGCGGCCACTACGTCTGCAAATTTGCGCGCGTTACAAATTGTACTATTATTATCTGAACGGTCTTCACATCATGGCACTGGAACAGCTGCAGCACAAGGCCAGTACTGCTTTGAATCAGCTGCAGAAAGCCCAGATCATGGAAACATGCAGAAATTTGAAGTGTTTCATTGATGATGAGACTGGTGAAGATAAAAGCAGACGGGCTTTGATTCGTATGGCAGAAAGAGTACTTGATGAAGTTGAAGACCAAGAAGAAGATGATGAGGCCTGTGCATACATTCAAAACCTGATGTCTTTCATTGAAACAATACAGCAGAAAGACAAAGACAGCAATGGAACGTGTCAAACACTGCCACCATCAAAACTTTCTGAAGATATGGATGGTGAAATACAAGAGTCACAAGAAGAATCCAGAAAAACCCTTGAGGAAAAGAAAACATCAAGTGAAGGTGGAACAAAAACCACAGCCGCATTGAATCCCATACGAATGGCCAGACTAGGAAATGTGCCGGAAGTCACAATACGGAGAGAATTCAGGATCTGTGGGAAGATTGGTGAAATAGGGCAGAAAGACAAGTTATTTTACACCAATCTGATGCACCAGATCTACACAGGTACCCGTAAGGGACATGCCGAGTCTGGCATCATTGAGGCAGTAGTCAGAGCAATCAGTCCTGGTCTAAATTTGATGGACATGCTAGAAATAAAAACTGATTTGACTATTTACAAGTTAAAAACTATTTTGAAGGAACACTATAGAGAAGAAAGCACATCTGATCTCTATCAGAAGTTGATGAACATCTCTCAGGAGTCAAGAGAAACTACACAAAACTTTCTGTTCCGAGCTATCGAATTAAAGGACAGACTATTATTCGCATCTAAAGAAAAAGGAGCTGATGACCAGTACAATCCAGATATGGTACACAGGAAGTTCCTGAGATCGATTGGCACAGGATTGCTCAGTGACTCTATAAAATTCCAAAATAAAGCCCAATCTGGATGACATCACTGTCACTGATGAGATGCTGATTGAAAAAGTCAATGAAGCAGCCAGCTTGGAACTTGAGAGACAAAACAAGCCCAAGGGGATCAAAGGCAAGGGGTATTCTGAGGACAGCAAGGCCCGCGGGGCCGAGGGCGGCAAGGCCCGTGGGGCCGAGACGCAGCCCAAGGGCGAGGTGAGGGCCAAGGCGCAGGCCTCACGTGCTGTGGCTGCAGCTGCAACCCAAGTACCCGGGCAAGAGCACACCTACACGCAACAAGATGGGCCATTACGCCATCATCAAGTTCCTGCTGACGACAGAGCTGGCAGTGAAGAAGAAGCCCGACAACATGCGTGATCAAGACAAGATATAAGCTGTGGTCATATGGTTGTTAGTTGTTTAAGATGTTTTTGGTTTGTTAGTGTTGTGTTTAATATGTTAAGAGGGGGTCATTGTCTAAAATGAAAAAAAATGGTGAGGAAGAGGTTTCAAGTATGTTAGTAGGCCGATAAGTAAGTACCTAAAAGCTAAATTCTACACGGCCTTAAGCTGCAAAGGATTTTATTTTGACAGGTACTGGGAAAAGAATCCTAACCATTTGTGGTCAGTAAAATGTGAAGTATGGTGTAATAATACCAGATTGTCTGGTAATTCCAAAAGCATAATACAATGATTGGGCTGCACAAAGAGTTGGAGCTCACCCCAAAATAGAGAGCTTCTGGAGTGGCGCTATCTTGGAAGGGATATGATCCCTAGAGAAATTGTGTTCACAATTTCATAAACTCCTTTCATGACCAGTTTAAGGAAAAAGAATGCAAAATGTTTCCAAGGAGAAAAATGGAGTGTCGAGACGACACTCATTTTGTGGGGGAGAGTGTGACACATTAGGAATGGATCACTCTTTTAATTATATCCTTGTGGAGCAAGGGAGTAAAGTGTGGTTCTGTGAAAGTCCTGATGTGCTGTGCAGTGCATCAATGCATGTGTACAGCAGCATGTGTGTACAGCAGCATGTGTGTACAGCAGCACGTGTGTACAGCAGCACGTGTGTACAGCAGCACGTGTGTACAGCAGCACGTGTGTACAGCAGCACGTGTGTACAGCAGCACGTGTGTACAGCAGCACGTGTGTACAGCAGCACGTGTGTACAGCAGCATGTGTGTACAGCAGCATGTGATGACTGAGTCGGGCCTGTAGGTGGCTGGCAGGGTTATTGAATGACCGCGCGGATATACCAGTCACATGGTTAATGGCGACTCGGGAGCAATGCTGGTTGTAAAACACGTGCTGCTGCATTTTACAGGTAAAGGACCCAAAGGTTGTTTTTTATCGTTATATAAATGTTCTAGACTTGTTCTAGACTTGTTCTGGACTTTAAGCTTGGCTTTGAATTGTTCGTTTGTGATATACAGTGAGGGAAAAAAGTATTTGATCCCCTGCTGATTTTGTATGTTTGCCCACTGACAAAGAAATGATCAGTCTATAATTTTAATGGTAGGTTTATTTGAATAGTGAGAGACAGAATAACAACAAAATCCAGAAAAACGCATGGCAAACATGTTATAAATTGATTTGCATTTTAATGAGGGAAATAAGTATTTGACCCCCTCTCAATCAGAAAGATTTCTGGCTCTCAGGTGTCTTTTATACAGGTAACGAGCTGAGACAAACACACCAGGGGTGGTTATGGCCGCACGCGGAAGGATGCTTACATCCACGTCCGCACCTTTAGCCTGGGGGGCTAAAACGGCGCTGTGATCCCCCACGGCCCCACCCCCCGGTGGGGGAGTTGCTATATAAGGCGGTGAGCCGGTGGGCTCGGGGTTCAGTGTTTAGCTTTAACCAGCGAAGAAAGAAGACCGGCTAGATAGGCCCTGGGACTCCCCTGGATCGCCGTCCTTCTAAGGACCGACCAGGGCAAGCCAGTGGCGTGGCTCCGAGAGCCCAGAACCGATGTTCTTATAAGAGCCGGTCTGGGGACTCAGGGTGCCGTAATCCCAGCTTGACCAGAGCTGGGTCAGCTAGCCTCCACTAGCTCTGTAGTGGAGGACCTGGGAGTAGGCTAGCCAGGACAGAGATTGTGGGATCTCCCTGTTAGGCGGGTGAAGGGGCCGATACCCCTTCGAGTGTCGTATACCTTGGCCTGTATATAGTGGAACGTTTAATAAATAAGTGTGCCTCCGACTACGTCGTCCAAGTCTCTTTGAACCTACTACAAATGGTTGAGTAAGTGGCTGAATGAGTGGTTGATGGAGCGATTTGTTCAGTGAGCGAGCGGGTGGTTGAGTGAGCGAGTGAGTGGTTCAGTGAGTGAGTGGTTGAGTGAATTAGTGAGTGGTTGAATGAGTATTTGAATGAGTGAGTGTTTGAACCAATGAGTGAGTGTTTGACCGCAGGAGTGTGTGGTTGATTTAATGACTGAGTGATTGATTGAGTGGTTGAGTGAGTGAATGGTTGAGTGAATGGTTGAGTGAGCGAGTGGTTGAGTGAGTGAGTAGTTGAGTGAGTGGTTTAAGTTAGTGGTTGAGTAAGTGAGTGGCTGTATGATTGGCTGAGTGAGTGAGTGAGCGAGTGGATGAGTGAGTGGCTGGCGCGCACCTTGCCTGCGTTGTCCAGAGTGTCCCGCTGGTGCCGCTCCACTGTGTTGCTGCACTTCGCCAGGGTGAGAGCGGCGGTGCCGCGCCCGCAGCTGCTCCAGCGACTACGCCATCTTACCCAGCCCCTCCTGGCGAGCACGCAGCATGCCCTGGAGCTCCCATCACATGGTGCTGGCAACCTGAGACACCCGCCTGTACCACACACACAGAAGAAGAGATACGGGAATGGATTAGGGCGACCCGGGTGACGAGAAGTTCACTACTTCGCCCGGTATACAGGAGGTTGTAGGTTTGATCCAAACCCTGATGCTTACATATTCAATTATGCTCGTCCAGGCGGGGAGAATTCAATCACATTTATTCAATGCGACGTTTCTCATGGGACCCAAACCGAGAGGATTCTGGGATGTTTGTGGTTTTTTGGCAATAACTCTGGAAGGAAACGTCGCAGACCCATCAAGGTGGGACACGTCCAGCGACATAATGGTTGAGTGACTGGTTGAATGAATTCGGAAATGGTTAAATGAGTGAGTGGTTCAGTCAGTTAGTGGTTGAGGGAGTGAGGGAGTGAGTGGCTGAGTGAGCGAGTGGTTGAGTGATTGAGTTAGAGTGACTGAGCGGCTGAGCGGTTAAGTTAGTGAGTCGTTGAGTGAGTGTGGCTGATTGAGTGAATGGCTGAGTGAGTGAAAGAGTGATGGTTGAGTGGTTGAGTAAGTGATTAAGTGAGTGAGTGGTTGAGTGAGTGGTTGAGTAAGTAGCTTCATGAGTAAGTAGCTTCGTGATTGCGCGGCTGAGTGGTTGAGTGTGTGGCTGAGTGGCTAAATGAGTGAATGGCTGAGTGACAGGGTGAGTGGCTGAGTGAAGGAGTGAGTGGCTGAGTGAGTGAGAAAGTAATTGGTTGAGTAAGTCATTAAGTGAGTGAGTGGTTGAGCTAGTGAGTGGTTAAGTGAATCGTTAAGTGAGTGGTTAAGTGAGTGGTTAAGTGAATGGTTAAGGGAGTCGTTGAGTGAGTGGTTTGGTGAGGGGTTGAGTGAGTGAGTGAGTGGTAGAGTTAGTCGTTGAGCGAGTGGTTGGGTGAGGGGTTGAGTGAAAGGTTGAGGGAGTGAGTACTTGAGTGCTTGAATGAGTGGTTAAATGAGTCTTTGAGTGAGTGGTTGAGTGAGTGGTTGAGTGAGCGAGTGCTTTAGTGAGCAAGTAAGTGGTTGAGTGAGCAAGCGAGTGGTTGAGTGAGTGAATGGTTGAGTGAGCGAGCAGTTGAATGAGCGAGTGGTTTATTGAGCGAGTGGTTGAGTGATTGAGTGAGTGGCTGAGTGAGTGAATGGTTGAGTGAGAGGGTGATGGTTGAGTGATTGAGTGGGTGGTTGAATGATTGGTTGAGTGGTTGAGTTAATTATTGAGTGAGTGAGTGGTTGAGTGAGTGAATATCTGAGTGAGTGAGCAGCTGAGTAGTTGAGTGAGTCGTTGAGTGAGTGTGTGGCTGAGTGAGTTTGTGGCTGAGTGAGTGAATGGCTGAATGAATCACAGCTATGATAAAAATGGACATCAGCATATAAGTGGTCTTGTATTCACTCAGTAAACGAAGTTTCATATAAAATTGTACACTCACAGGATCGAGATAAAGATGACATTCCACATCGGAGTAAACTGAGTCACGGTTATGATTAAATTTTGTATTAGCATAACATTGATTTATTAGCATACAAAATGACTTTTTGCAGAGCGATTTATACAAAAGTTTGATAGACTACATGAATTTTTTTTTATAAAAAGTACATACAAACCAGGCATCAATACCGTTGCTTTGTATGATCTGTGAAACGCAGAAAATGTCAGATAAAATCGGACATTTTGAGCTTGCTGCTGTATCGACTGAGTGGAATCAATACAATTAGTATCGATTCACAATCAACAAAGACCACGCGTCCATTAAGGCCAATGTGACGAGGCCATAGATAGATGCCGCGTTATAAAGGGGGGGGGGGGAAGAAAAACGTCGTACTACGTGACATCACAACACCCTGCACACAGCCATAGTGGCTGATTAGGGTGCGCATCATTTACGAATATGTGGTTTAAGTGGTTGAGAGTAGATTTTGTTGTAAATTGATCACGATGCTTTGCGTAGCCTGCATTTAAAATTTCATGAGTGGGTGAGTGCGTGAGTAAGCCGGTAAGTGAGTATGTGGGTGGATGGAGGGAGCTGGGCGGGCACGGCATGGGCTGGAGTGGAGGTGGACTGATGCGGTACGGGAGGATGTGGAGCTGAGTGGGCTTTGCCGACGACTGGTACCAGTGGTGTCGAGATCGGCCTCTGCAGGGAGGCTCGTGAAGGATGCTTCTACTTGGCAGTTGGCGACAGTCGCCCTCCAACAACAACGGAGGAGAGACACTCACAACAACGAGCGGAACACCGGATGATAAACATGCAGCAATTTGGCACAGTACGGGGTACAGGTGGTGCTGCCAGTCATCTCAGTCAGCCAACCCATGGCACCTGGGTCTGTTCCAGGACCTCCGGTCAGCCAGCCTTCGACACTTCACGTGGCTTCAAAGTGCACCTGGCCTGGCACAGGCGCTGTGGTAACGTCACTGTCACTTATTGGCGAATGGTGACGGTTGATAATGCAGCGGTGGTTGTGAGAGATGCCATTTTGGGGGGGGGGGGGGGGGCGCCAACCCTGACCAGCTGTGAACCTCATGTCGCCCGCAGCCACCAGTGCGCCACAGGGAGTTCTGGATGGGTGCGAGGGGCTGGTAACCCCCCTCCACCTTCAACTAAATCACCACACATTCACGTGCGAGCCCTTGGGTCTCTCTGTTAGTCGATGGATCTCTGTGTGTGAGTCTATGGGTCTCTGTGATAGTCCGTGGGTCTTTGTGAGATGAGTCTATGTGTCTGTGTGGTGAGTCTATGGGTCTCTGTGAAAGTCCGTGGGTCTCTGTGAGGTGAGTCTATGTGTCTCTGTGTGGTGAGTTTATGTGTCTCTGTTTTGTGAGTCTATAGGGCTCTGTGCGAGTCTGTTTGAGTCGGTGGTTCTCTGTGTGATGAGTCTATGCGTTTTTGTATAACTCTATGGGTCTCTGTGGGGTGAGTCTATGGGTCTTTGTGGGGTGAGTCTATGCGTCTCTGTCTGATGAGTCTATGAGTCTCTGTGGTGAGTCTATGGTTCTCTGTGCAAGTCTGAGGGTCTGTGCGTAGTGAGTGTATAGGTCTATGTGTGATGACTCTCTGGGTCTCTATGTGATGGATATCTGTGGTGCACATATCCTGGCACAAGCGCCGTTAGTGGAGAATGCTCCTCCCACCACTCCTGCTTGTTGTTGTGCTCGGGAAGGAGAGATAAAACTAGACTAAAATCTCAACAATTTTCATTTCACCAGGTAAGGTCCACTGAGATGAACATCTCTTTTATTACGCACTTTTATTTAACTCACTCGGTCTGTGTCTGTTGTCGTATCCTCAAATCTTGCAACTCAATTTTAACCCACTTCCCAATGTGGTATCGACTGCAAACTTGGTATACTTATGTCATACTGATGCCTAAACTACATTCTATTAAAAAAAGCATTTTTAAACATTCATTTTATATGTTATGTTTCGGCTTGGGTCTAATTGTCCACGCTCAACTAACGTTGGCTATAAATCACCATGGTCCCTTACGTTATGGCAAGCCTCGGGGCCACTTCCTGGAGTCGTGGTACATTTCATTTAATTAAAGCGTGTTTTAAAAAAAAAGTTATTTTAAATATTACTTATTCAGAAGCGACTTGGCACCAATGATAGCTCAACTTAGTGTCTCATCATCACGTGTAATTTATAGCAGCCAAACAATTTCGATTTAAAGCTTTCGTGACTGCAGGGATTCATCTTCTTGGTTCTTTCGGTAAAGTCACGTAAAAAGAAAACCAAAAAATAAAAAAATTAGTAATGAAAACAAAAGAAATGAGAAATTGCTTTTATTATTTTCAATTTATCTTATTTTGTATATTTTTTTATTTAAAAAAATAGATTTTTTTTTTCTATTTACGTAACTTTACCAAAAGAACCAAGCATATGAATTCCTGCAGTCACAAAAGTTTAAAGTCAAAACTTTAAACGAATCTTTCTTAATGTGGAGAGACAGAGACACGCAAACTCCAAATATACAGCAGGCATCAGGGTCGGGATCGAACCTACAAACTCCTGTATACCAGGCGAGGTAGTTAGGGGGGAAAGCAGAGACAGCGAGAGGGAAGATAATTATTCAAACTCACACTCAGTATTACTCACCAACCATGATACACTCACCATCACACTCACCATGATACTCACCCCATCATACTCACGCATTCACCATCACTCACACACAAGCCCACACACATCAACAGTCGCCATTCACCACTACGTGGCGGTGACATCACCACAATAACCCAGGTGCCATGGATTGACGGCTGTGGCAGGCTAAGTGCAGGAGGAGGTCATGGGCCAGACTCAGGTGCCATGGGCCGACTGCTCTGCCTGGCTCGGTACAAGAGGAGGGCTAGACCCTGGTGCTATGGGTTAACTCGTGTGCCACCACCTGCACAGCCACCACAGTAACAACCACACAACTATAATCACAACAATAACCACGACCAACAACTGTAACAACTATAATGTAACCACAACTATAATGTAACCACAACTATAATTTAACCACAACTATAACTTAACCACAACTATAATGTAACCACAACTATAATGTAACCACAACTATAATGTAACCACAACTATAATGTAACCACAACAGCAACAGCAGCAGCAGGGCCGAGCTCTGCTTGAAGCTGCGCCGTGAACTCCGCAGAACGTGACGGCTGTGGGCCAGGCGCCTCCTCTGTCTCCCCCCACCGCCGCCGCCACTGCTGATGTGGACACACCGCGCGAGGTTCTCACCTTCAGGCTGAGTCGACGTAGAGGAGGCCCAGCGAGCCGCCGCTTCAGAAGTTTTCGCTCGCCACTGACGGTGGCCGTGAGCGGGAATCCAAACCAGCCGCTCGCCACCCACAATGCACTGCGCGCGCCGCCTCCACTCGACCCCAGCAGAAGTGGCAGCGGGGGGAGGGGGGTGGGGCATGGGGGGTGAGGGGGAGGGGCATGGGGGGTGAGGGGGGTGAGGGGGGTGGGGCATGGGGGGTGAGGGGGAGGGGCATGGGGGGTGAGGGGGGGGAGGGGTGGTGGGGCATGGGGGGGAGGGGCATGGGGGGGAGGGGGGGGCAGGGGCTGGGGGTGAAGGGGGTGGGCATGGGGGGTGAGGGGGGTGAGGGGGGTGGGGCATGGGGGGTGAGGGGGAGGGGCATGGGGGGGTGAGGGGGGTGGGGCATGGGGGGTGAGGGGGAGGGGCATGGGGGGTGAGGGGGTGAGGGGGGTGGGGCATGGGGGGGAGGGGCATGGGGAAGGTGGGTGGGGCATGGGGGGTGAGGGGGAGGGGAATGGGGGGTGAGGGGGGGGGTGGGGCATGGGGGGAGGGGCATGGGAGGGAGGGGCATGGGGGGTGAGGGGTGGGTATGGGGGTGAGGGGGAGGGGCAATGGGGGCGTTCGCGAGGGGGGGAGGGGACATTGAAGGTGGTCGCGAGGGGGGGGCAGGGGGGAGATTGGGGGGTGAGGGGGAGGGGCGTGGGGGGTGAGGGGGAGGGGCATGGGGGGAGGAGCTCATGGCTGTGACATCACGGGGGGGCGTGGTTACCTTGTACCGCCCCCGCGTCTCGCGCCACTGGCAGTTTGGCCGTTAGAGATGTCTACGTAGTTTATACTTTAGTTGTTTACGTGGTGGTTTAGTTACTGCAGCTACATACTATTAACATTCCTTTATTAATGTCACCCCTATCCCCTCCCTTTGATGCTGCTAATCCTGCATAATCAACGGGCATAATATGACTTTAAACCCCCCGCCCACCTCCTACGCATTTCACAAGTAGTAGTAATCACATACCTGCATTTCCCATAAATATGCTAAATTCCTCTTGATATGCAAATTATTTTGTCAAGGCGGCCTTCCCCCCTTCCAACCCAGCTTAAATATACGTTCCAAGCGTGGTGGTGTTTCATTCCTACCCACACACTCACTCATCCACAAACCCACTCACCCCCTCACTCATCCATCCACTCACATACTCACCCAGCCACTCACCTACTCACCCAGTCACATCCACATCCACTCACCATGCTACCCACTCAATTTCTAACCCACCCTCTCGCCCAACCACCCGGCCGGCCACTCCCTCAGCAACTCACCCACTAACCACGTAATTATTCACCCACCCACCCATCACTCAACCACCCAATAATTCAACCACCAAAACATTCAACCACCCACGAACTCAACCACCGAGCCACTCACACGCACCCACTCAACTACTGAGCCATTCATACACTGACCCACTCACTAAGCCACCCACTCAATCACTAACCCACACTCATGCACCCAGCCACTCACTCACTCAGCGACTCACCTATGACGCATCAACCCATCCACTCACTCATCCACCCACGCACCCACTCACGCACGCACCCACTCATCCACACATGCACGCACCCACTCATCCACACAATAAACGAATATTTAATTGTTTTTCATTTTACTGTAGAGGCTCACTGACCTGGCCCAGCTTCGGCTCAGGTCCGACCCTCAGCCACACGAGCCTGGCCCTCACAAGGACACAGACCTCGCTGCTCTGAGGTCGCCCCTGGCTTGCCCTGCTCGGCTCTTATAAGAGCAGCGAGTCAGGGTAGTCCCAGGGCTAGCTAGCTGGTCTTCAGTCGCCACTGGCTCTTCTGCTCCAACGATTGCCTCGAGCTCTCTCGCGCACCGCCTTATATAGCCAACTGCCCCCCGAGGGGCGGGGCTGTATGCGGACGTTGATGTAGACACCCCACGCACGGACCGTGATGTAGACACCGCAACGTAATGGCTTGCTACACCCCGGTACGTAACACCTCTACATCTCGATTTAAAGCTTTCGTGACTGCAGTGATTCATCTTCTTGGTTCTTTCGGTAAAGTCACGTAGAAGGGAAGTAATAAAATAAAATAAACATAATAAAATAATTCTCACGACGTTTCGGCCACAATGCAAGCAGCCGTCCTCAGGTGAAAACCAGGTCTGTCGAGGCGACAGCGTCTGAATGAAACACCACACGAGCTTGGAGCATATATATAAGCTGGGCGCCTTGACAAAGGAATTTGCATATCAAGAGGAATTTAACATTTCCATGGGAAATGCAGGAATGTGATTAGTACTACATATACCTGTGCATTATGCAGGATTAGCAGTATCAAAGGGAGAGGATATGGGAAATGCAGGTATGTGAATAGTACTAATTCAGCATCAAAGGGAGGGGATAGGGGTAGCATTAATAAAGGGAAGGAGTGTTAACAGTATGTAGCTGCAACAACTAAAACCAACACGTAAACAACTAAAGTATAAACCACATAGTATCATCAGTATACTTACTATACTCTACAATAAGCTGAGTTACTAACAGTAAGTAATACATTACAATTCTACGTCGTAAAAATTATATAATATGCTTCCATCTAAACTTTATTCTCTTTCATCACACGAGTCTACACCGTACTATATACTGCCATAGACAAACCCAACATTAAATTATATACTGTCTCTGTGTTTGTATATGTGGATCGCCTCATCAACGACAATTTCAACCGAGAAGATGGATTTGGGCTTAGCAATCATTGGAAGGACGTAATAAACCATTTCGGATCTTAACTGATTGTGTTCACGTTTACGGTGACTTTCAGCGGCTGCTGCTTCAGCTGAGCGCTGCAGCAGCAGCCCCCCCCCCCCCGGACCCCTCCCCCACCCTCCACTTCTCACCCTGACGCCACACAACCCGTGTGTAGGCGATGCCCTCTGGTGGACAAGGCGCGGTACAGGCGGCAGCACGAGACGCCAGCAGCGTTACGCTGCCAGGGTTACTCACCCGAACACCTCCGTACACTTACACACACCTACACACACCTCTATACACTTACACACACATACACACACACCTCTATACACTTACACACACATACACACACACCTCTATACACTTACACACACCTACACACACCTCTAGACACTTACACACACCTACACACACACCTCTAGACACTTACACACACCTACACACCCCTCTAGACACTTTCACACACCTCTATACACTCACACACACACACCTCTATAAACTCACACACACACCTCTTTACACTTACACACACCTACACACACCTCTATACACTTACACACACCTACACACACCTGTATAGACTCACACCTACACACACACCTCTATACACTTACACACACCTACACACACCTCTAGACACTTACACACACCTCTATACATTCACACACACCTACACACCTCTATACACTCACACACACTCACACACACCTACACACACCTACACACACCTCTATACACTCACACATACACACACACCTCTATACACTTACACACACCTACACACACCTCTAGACACTTACACACACCTCTATACACTCACACACACCTACACACACACACCTCTATACATTCACACACACACCTCTTTACACTTACACACACCTACACACACCTCTATACACTCACACATACACACACACCTCTATACACTCACACACCTACACACACACCTCTATACACTTACACACACACCTACACACACACTTCTATACACTCACACACACCTACACACCTCTATACACTCACACACACTCACACACCTACACACACCTCTATACACTCACACCTACACACACACTTTTATACACTTACACACACCTACACACACACCTCTATACACTCACACCTACACACACACCTACACACACACCCCTATACACTTACACACCTACACACACACGTCTATACACTCACACACACCTACACACCTCTATACACTCACACACCTACACACACCTACACACACCTCTATACACTCACACACCTCTATACACTTACACACACCTACACACACACCTCTATACACTTACACACACCTACACACACCTCTATACACTTACACACACATACACACACACCTCTACACACCTACACACACACCTATACACTCACACACACCTACACACACCTCTATACACTCACACACCTACACACACACCTCTATACACTTACACACACACCTACACACACACTTCTACACACTCACACACACCTACCACACTCTATACACTCACACACACTCACACACACCTCCACACACCTCTATACACTCACACCTACACACACACTTCTATACACTTACACACACCTACACACACACCTCTATACACTCACACACACGTACACACACCTCTATACACTTACACACACATACACACACACCTACACACACACCTCTATACACTCACACACACCTACACACACCTCTATACACTCACACCTACACACACACCTCTATACACCTACACACACACCTCTATACACTTAAACACACCCTTCAACATACTAATGTAGTGGATACAATGGAGAGAGGCAAGACCACTCAGCTCCACATGCTCCCGTACCGCATCAGTTTATCTCTACTCCAGCCCATGTCGTGCCCAAATCTTGACTTAACGCTTTCGTGACTGCTTCTTTCTTTAACCTGTCTACGTGAATTTACCCAAAGAACATGTCGTGTCCGTTTAGGCCCGTCTATCCGGCCAAACAGAAGCTGCTTGGCCATGCGGTGGCTGGGCATGCGGGCTACATGACCCAGCCAACGCAGCCTTGCCTGCAGGGACTTTGTCCAGATCTTTCAAGGAACTGCGAGCTCCTCACACGATCCAGCCTGCAGGTTAACCCCAGGATGGATCGTAGGCAGGACAGCCTAGACGTTTCTAACCGGCGCAGCTATTCCATTAGGGGGGTCCACGTTTCACAAGCGCCTCTACACCCATGCACCGAGCCCACACAGCGTGTAGCTGCTACGCTAGTAAGTTTATTTCGGTGC